CCCCCCACACACACACACACACACCCCGAAACTATATGATTTTTGTAAGTTTCCTACCTAAATTATGAGTGTCCCCGAAAACCTGAACTATATCGCTTAAGAATAAAACCCCCGTCTCATTAGCCTAGTGCGTATGATACCCCCTCTAAATAAATTATAAAACTTGTCATATTGGTATGCCACGTGGATAATTAATCTAATTAATCTTAAAATGGACTTAATTAACCTACAATAATTTAATTATGTTGAGTGGGTTTTTCCTCTTTCTATTCAGTAAAGACGGTCATTTACTCTCAATCAAAAAAAAATGTCATTTTACCCTCATCGAAGAAGAACTCTCATCGGACCGATTATCTTCTCTGATTATCTTCCTCCGATTTCTCTTCAAAACTAGTCGTTGTTATTTCGAATTTGGAGTAAAGGTGAAGTTTTGATGGTGAATCATAACAAAATTAGGGCTTAGGGTTTTGCTGGTGAAATATCTTCCTCCGATTCTTTGAAGATTCTGAAGATTATTAAAGAAGATTGTTTCAATACATGTTTTATTCTTTATTTCCTATTAATTTGTTGTGAAATTATGATAGGTAGGTGTTGCGCTTTAGTTCGTAGTAGAAAATTTTGGGTATTTTTTAGGTGTTACATCGTTCTGCTTGTCGATGTTTGTTTGTCGAATATATAGTTGCATGCATGTTGTTTGTTGTTAGTTTTAGATTTCGGGTCTTTTTATGTTAGATTAATAAGGTGTTCTGTGTTTTTGGCCTTATTCTTTGTTGTTTTTTATTGTTATTTTAGGGTAATGACATACAAATATCTGAATTTGAGATTTCATATTGGTGGTATGCTTGTGAGTGAAATAGGGCCAGTTTATGTTGGGAGAAATATTGAATATGCCTTTAATGTGGATACGGACAAACTGTCTATTCCAGAAATTGTTGATTATGCCAAAGATTTTGTGTTTACCAATGTAGGAAAAATGTTTATTGTATCTTCTAAGGGTGGTAGTTAGGCAGAATTGAAAAATGATAGGGATTTGTTGGTACTTGCTGAGTTGTTAAGTAATAAGGATACAATAGACATTTATGTATGCCATAAGGGAGATAATGTGGTCCAAAATAGTCATGTGACTTGCGGGGTCGTTGAAGAATCTCCCAGTAGGGTTATTGAAGGTTTAAATGCATCTTTAGGTTCCCAAATTGAAAATATTAATTGTAGTGGTCAAATAGAACCTCATGAAGAGTCACATGTTGCATAAAAACTTCCTAGAAACTCCTTAGTAGATGAAAATGATTTTGACATAGAAGATGAAAACTTAGAGGAAGATGACATAGGTAATGCTGCAAATAGTGATAAATCTAGCAGTTCTGATGATGAAGAGCATGAGGTTGATTATGGTAGTGATGTGCATGAAGAGTTGAACATAGTTAAAACATATTTGAAGGCTTATAAGAAGAAGAAAAGAACACTAAGAAAGAAAGTTGTTGCTGAGTGTTTTCTTAGACCAGTTGGGATAGATCCAGGTTTTGAAGACACAGATAAAGGGAAGAAAAATATTTCTGGTAAGTTAGTTGGTGATTAGCCTTTTTATGACAGTTCAGATGCTGATAGTTTTTAGAGTGACACTGACAATAAGAGTGACAGTGAATCAGGAAACAGAAATGGTAACATGAAAGCAAGAAAGGAGAACAATAGGGTAATGTATGATCCAAAATGGGAAAAGGTGGTTTGGCAACTTAACATGGTCTTTGAAAATGTATATAAGTTTAGGTAAGTTATCACCAGGTATGCAATAGAAAGAGGTTGTGAGCTCGAGAAGATTACAAATGATAAAAATAGAGTTAGGGTAAAATGCAAAACTAATGAATGCCCTTGGTTGTTGTTTGTAAGCTGAGAGTCCAAATCTGTTGATTTCATTATCAGAACTTATAATCCTAGGCATAACTGCAACAAGACCACCACAAATTCAAGGTGCAATACCAAGTATCTTGCAAAGTACTAAAGAAGTAGGATAATTTCACAGCCGTGCATAAAGGGTTGGGAGATGCAAGATTTGGCAAGGAAGGATTTGGGTTTATATGTTGGGAAAAAATTTGTTTGACGGCTAGGAAACAAGTATTGAATAAGTGATGGGTGATCATGTGAAGGAGTTTGGCAGGATTTATGATTATAGAGATGTGCTCCTTCAATCAAATCTAGGGAGTACATATGTGGTAAAAGTGACAGATTCTGAAGATGGGAAAAAAATATTCTCAATGTGGCAATGTCGTTTCTTTCTATTTCTTTTTTAGTGTCAGACATATTTACTAGTTATCACTTTTGTTTTGCAGTTTTCTTCTGGATTTTATGTTGTTCCTGTCTTTCTTATATTTTCTTATGATTTCTGTGATAATATTGATATTGTCTCCTTTTGTCTTCTTGAGCCGAGAGTCTTTTGGAAACAATCTCTCTACCTTTTTGGGTAGGAGTAAGGTCTGCGTAGATACTACCCTACCCAGACCCCACTAGTGGAATTTTACTAGGTTGTTGTTGTTGTACATTTGCTTTGCACCAATGAAAAGGGAATTTATTGAAGGGGTAGAAAATGTATTGGGTTAGATGGCACTACAACATTTTATGCCTACAGGCACACCAATTTAGGCAACGCTTAAAAAGTGTTGTCAAAAGTATCTGTAGAAATACTTTTTAGGCGTGGCCTTTTAGTATAGTCTTCGGCCACAGCTTTTAAGGCAACACTTATAAAGCGTTCCTTTTAAATATAAAGACAATATTTTTTAAGTGTTGCCTAAATCTAAAAATTTTGGCCACGCTTCTTAGGTGTATTGCTACCTTTTTAAAGAGTTATTATATTGTCATATTAAATAAAATACTTTACAAGCATACCCTAAAAATTCTTTATAAAATATTTTCCCACCAAAATTGCACTTTATAAAATATTTTTCAATTTTTAGTTTTGTTCTTATACTTTAAGATTCAATTTTTTCAGTTTCTTACTAATGGGGATGAAAAAATAATCTTTTATTGTGTACAATATCTGGGTATCTCTGTACAATCTTTGTTTTACAATGAAGTAATTTTGTTTTGTTTAATTTTTGGGTATGCTTCGTTAATTTGAGTTTTCGTTTACACTAATTTGGCTTCTGGGTAACTGTAGATTTATTGATATGTACCGTTTTGGACCTTTATTTGTCTGCTGCTTTGTGTTTTTTTTTCTTGGGTTAAATAGACTAATTTGGGTTCTAGGTAAGTGTATTTCGTTGGTTTTCTTGTGATTAATTGTTTGTGGGTTCTTTAAGATAAACTTTTTATTGATGACGGGTTTTTTCCTTTAGATTTGTAGATATTTAAGTACTTTTTTGGACCTTTATTTTGTCTGTTTCATTTGTATTTTCTGTTAATTGTTTGTGGGGTTTTAGTTTAGGCTTGAAATCCCAACGAAATTGTTCTCCGAAGCATTATGTCGAACACTCAATTCCTTAGAAGAAAATACGCTGCCTCGCTTGTGGTTGTCATATGTAGTAGCTGGAATTATTTGTTGAAATAGTTTAGGATCATTTAGAGTTGATGAGTTTATATCAACACCCTCCTCATCTGCTAGGATTTCAAATCCGTTTGAACTGGTGACAGTTTGTAGAGCATTTCGTCGATCACCTGAACCCCTCGTCTTTTGTTGTTGTGTCTTTGCACCTGTAGGTGTGTTCTGCTTGGTAAAAACTTTCCTTACCACAGTCCAATCATTCCCAGTTGTGTTTTTATTAAGTCCATTTTCATTAGAGGAAGTTGAAGCATGTTCATGTCCTTCCAAATTATTAGTTGCAACATTCAAAAAAGTTGTTTGTACCCCAGCATTGGCCTGAATATTTACAGGATTTTGAGGGAACTTATCCTCTTTATTCACTACCTTTGCACCTATAGTAGTTGTATTATCCAAAGCATCACCACATTCTTGTGCACCAGATTTTAAAACCTCACCAGTAGATATAACACCTGCTGCTTTTTCAACATCTTTAATCACTACCTAAGCCCCTATAGCAGCTGCATTATCCAAAGCACCAAGACCTTCAATCTGCACAGTAGAAACTTTAAAATCTGTTGGTTTTTGGTTAAGGCATAATGTTTTTCTACCTTAGCAGAAGAGAATGACTTTGAGATATGACTTGACTGAAGAGTTCTGTCTAGAAATGTATATGAGATTGATCTTTTCTATATCCTTTCAGGTTCAGCCTTAATGGTGGTCATTTGATTAATGTTATTGTTTGTCTGCCCTCTAAAACATAAATGTTTCTCTAGATCTATAGAGGTTCTTCTGTAGGCTAAGAAGTAAACTTTATACAACAAATTTTGTTGTTGTCGATGGTGGAAAACCAAAAAGATACTCATGCTACTTTGGTAGTTATGTATTTTTGCATTCTATGCTATTATTACTCACGCGCTTCTAGAATTATGTGTTACGAGCTTTTTACATTTGTTCCTTGCTGTCTTAAGTTATACACTAGTTGTTAGGCTAAAGTAATATAATTTTTTTTGTATGTAGGATGAATCAAGCGGCAACTCTTAAGAAAAAGGTTCAGAATCCAAACAAAGCTCAAAGTCCAATGAAGAATATAGGTTTTGATTTCCAATACCGATCAAGTACCGAACTAGCCAAAAAATTCAGATTAAAAGAGAAAAGCTTGCAAGTGACCGCAGCGATAAAGCTGCTAAAGAGCATGTATTACTTGGAGTTAAAAGGAAGAATTATATGTCTTTAAC